GGAAAATTTGATTCGGGTCGCGACCAAAATTGGTTGGCAACCAAATTCGTAGGGGTCAGAACAGATTAACCATATTTACATTGAACCTTATGGGAAAAATTGATTCGGGTCGCGACCAGAGTCACGGAACGAATTAAGTTCGTGACCCGAGGTACCACTGTACAGGTAGTCCTCGCTGCCTGCCTCATTTAGCAACCATTCAAAGTTATGATGGTATAAAACAAATTTGCAACCAGTCCTTGCGTTTACAACCATCCCAGTGTCCAGCAGTCCATGATCGCCATTCAGGCACTTCGCAACTAGCACGCATTTATGACCATCACAGTGCCCTATGGTCACATGATCATCATCTGCATGCTTCCCAACCAGCTTGTGACAAGCAGAGTTAATGGAGAACACAGAAGTAAAATCACAAGTCGCAGTGATGTGATGTCTCACTTAATGACCGTGGTGACTCACTTACAACTGAACAGAAGTGATGTTGTAAGTCTGTTACGGTCATGTGATTTTCCGCTCAGTGATCGAGGCCCTTAGCGACGGAGTTGCCGGCCCCAGTTGTGGTTGCTAAGCACTACCTCTATGCTTTTAAACTAAGGAGCTGGCAACAGCATATGACAACCTTCTTACACTCCATCACTGCCTCCTTAACTCAAACATGTATTTTCCTAAAACTGCAAAGTTGTTACATGAATCCAGGAGAAGACAAATTAAAGGAGACAGTGACAGGTGCAACCAGGATGCCCACATCCCTCCAAATAATTGTTTATACTTGAGATCCAAACACACACACGACTACTTTCCTTTGACCAGTTAGAACGTTCTGTGCAATCTGTTAATAAAGATGCACGCTTAAATTAAATCCTATATATCATTCAGTAAATAATAATATGATTCCCCTGAGTAAAAATGTTTTGTTCTGCTATCTACTGGAAGGAGTAAGATTTGTAAGCCTGAAAGTAATCTGACATCAATCAGCTGCAGCACAAACATCTGTAATATTTACTGGAAGGCTTCGTAAGTTGCTCCGCCTCCTCATCTCCAAATTGCTAATCAGTTCTCACATTTGATTATATATATTTTGAGTATATTACCATATTAAAACCAATACAGGCAGTCCCCTAGTTATGAATTTTTGAGTTGCAAACTTTCACCAATACAAACAAGATGGACCCGGGAGTTGGAGCTGGAAATCGGACGAGAAGTTGGGGGAAGGCGCACAGCAAACTAACCCTTTCCCACTGTCTCCCAACTTCCGGTTCCAACTTCCGGTCCCGACTTCTCACATGGTCAGTCCATTACGATGCTCACGAAGATGAAGTTATTGAAGAAAATGGGGGGGAGGGGAGAAGATGGAGAACATGGCACATTCCTGTGGCATGAATCATTCCACAATTGGAATGATCATTAAGAACAAAGACAAGATCATGGAACATGTCAAAAGTTCAGTGCCTATGCAATCCACAATAATAAGCAAGAGGAGAGAAAAAGTGATCAAAGAGATGGAGATGCTGCTCAGCATGTGGATCTAAGATCAACATCAGCGGCATGCGCCATTTACCCTAATGCTGATCTAGGAGAAGGCTAAGAGCTTATTCCAAGACTTACAACAAAAAGCTGGAGAAGGTGCTGGTGAAGAGGCATTTGTTGCAAGTCATGGGTGGTCTCACCGGCTTTAAGGCTCGTGTGAACCTTCATAACGTGAAAGTCAGTGGCATGATGCAACCCATTGCTACGTCATTTATGAGGAGAAGAGGAAGATCACCACCCAAAGTTTGCTGGACTGCTTCTTCAGGAAGGTGGGAAAAAGTGCCATTTCAACTCCCGAGGACAAGCCTACGCCATCGCCACAAGCGCCTGTGCCAACTCTGCAAGCAGCTACACCAACGCTACCGCTTATGTAAGGTACAAACTGCGCATGTTTTTTATGCTTGTTGGACTTGCGAATAAAATGGACTTATGAACAGCCTCTCGGAACGTAACCCATTCATAAATAGGGGACTGTCTGAATGCAATTAATTTTCCTCAAAGTTTAATGGCTTAAAACCATTCAAGCAATTATACTGGATAAGAAATATTCCCAGATTTTATAATTCAAATTCCAAGAAAAATGCTAATTGTGAATTTTGAGGCTTCATAAACTGTCTTCTTTCTTTAACATCTTCAGAACACCCATACTGATATTTTGCATTTGATTTAATACATTTTTCAATAGTGACCTATCTGATTTATTACATCAATATATGTATTAAAGTTATCAGTTAACTAAGTGAAAGCTTGGGCTTTGTGTTCCTGGAATCCAACACAGCTGCAAAGTGTTATTATCTGAAACATCTGCTAGGACAAAATCTTCAAGCCCCCCCCCCCCAATCAACTCTAAATCTTTGAAGCAAGGAAGTGAGGATAGTTACCAGAAATCTTAAATATTTACTGAGGTGCACCCACCCACATATACACACACTCACAACTCAGGGTTCCCTGTAGCCACATAAACTTCTGACTGCTTATTTTTTTACCTGAAGGATGTTGTTCCACTCTCTCTTATTTTATTTCTCTGAACAGGAGATGCTTCAAGCGACAGAATTTTGTTTCCTGCCAAGGTAATTTGTTTCACAATGGAGCCTAAAAAAAGATAAACAATCCACAACAGAAAGCAAAATCCAAAATGACATTCAGCAAATACACAGAAAACTGCAAAGGCTATATCCAATTCTGAAGTGAAAATGTGTACATATGTCAAGGTCAAAAATCCACTGTATTTGTATTATCTTTATAGTTATTCTACCAGGACATGGACAAGAGCAATATTCTTGATAGGCATTAAGGCTTCACTAAGCCTTCACTAAGTCACCTCCAAGTACAGATAATGAAAAAAACATCGTTTGATTAGAAGGAGGCAATTGTTCAAATACAAGTAATCAATTTTAAGCAGCCTGTTGTCTCTTATAGACAAGCTGCTGAAGGATTTTTTTCAATGCAACTGAATAATTATACTGTTCATTTGTTGATAAAGTATTGTGCCAGTATGCCTACACCTGGGATAACACAATACTTTTCCATTAAGGAAAACCATTCCCAACATGGCACACTCCAGCTGCGGGAATGCTGAGAGCTGCAATCCTAACCCATTCCAGCTGTATTATTATATCTACTCCATACAAGCACCAAAAGGCATGAACCACAACACTTATTAAACTCTTTTTTTTTTAATCTACCCTTTAGCAGCCATATCATTTATAACCCCTTTAAGATTTATGAGCATTAGGTACTCCTACTCCAGCAACACAAGAAAATAGTTTTTCTCAAATAGGTGCAGCAACTAATCATAGCTATATTTCTGCCACAATTCTGTATCTATTATCCAGAAATTTGATAGGGGGCTAATAGAAACTGCTTGGATGAAAGTCATCCTCCAAAGGGTTCATCTTTTAGAGAAGCCATAATATGACTGCTATTCTCAATATGCCAACTTCTCACCTTAAATCCAAACACTATCCTAGCAATATATTTAATTTTAAAAGCCCAGTCAAACATGATGCCAAAGCATGTTGTAAACCTAGAAGTGCTGCCATTTGGTTTAGGGCGAGTCATTGTTCAACCTAATGTTAGAACCATACCTGCAGGAGGATGTCTACTTTGGATAAAAGCATTCAATGGTATTTTTTCACATAACTTGTTCACAATAGGGAGAGTAGAAACCTGCTGATGCTTGGCCACATTTTTTAAGGTGCTTCCAGCTGGTTGCTGGACTACCTGAGAAAGGGGAGGAAAAATATTGTTACATTTATACCTCCTTTTTATCAGAAATAAAATCAAAGGCTACATTGTGCCAAAATAAAGCAGAAATGTGGGTACAGATTGCAGTAGAGGCACCTGAAGTCTAGTATCTGAATTATGACTCTATCCAGTATTTCTGTTAAAACAAGGGACTCCAATGTTTTTGGCTTGAAAGGCACATTTGCAAGTTTGAATGCATGTCATAAATATTCACAGAAAATGGCTGCTATGAAGTAGATTGCTATGCCCAAAACAGCTTTCATAGTGGATATCAGTCATAAACATCCATTCACGGAAAACAAACCCTATGAGGTTGCTTCAAAACCCACCCCCTGGATGCTCCTTCTCTCTCCCAATTTTCTTTTTTTTTCCTGAACAGGTAAGGAGACACATAAACAAAGTGCCAAGCTGCAGCTATTCACCATTTTCTAAAACAGATGATGCTATAGGTTATTGCTTCGCAGCATGCCTGCCTTTTGACCATTTTTTTTTTAAAGGCAAATAAAAGCAGGGAGTGTGGAAGGCACCTAAATACCACTTTCTGCACATGCTGAACTCTGATGACATGCAAATTTCGTCTAGTGATACTAATGCACCTAATCCTATTTTCATGCAGAGTCTTATATGAACCTAACCATAAAACTGAGTCCTACTGAACCTCTGCTCAACATTCTTCCTAGTTGTTGCACGGAAGTTATGGATCTCTGAATATTTGATGGCACATTACATCAGAACATTGCTCAGTGTTTTCTATCTTGAAATTATCAGCGCTACCTCCAATCAAGCCAGTGTGCCTCAACTACTTAGGAAAGTTCAGGAATGGGACTTTAGAGCTTTTACATGCACAGTGGATGCGCTGCCTCTGAGCTGACTCCCCCACTTGGATGGTAATCTTGCTTCTTTTAGGGCTTAGATGCCTACCGAAGGGTTTGTTATTTCAATATGTATCCCGCCTCTGTTAAGTTTTTTCTTCTTTGATTCTGAAAGGCTCTTCGGGAGTTTTGCCAAAAGAAAATAAAATTGCCTAAACTACAGTCAATTTGTTTCCTGATTAAGTGAAATCAAGGCTTTTTACTGATAAAAGTTTTAAAGGGCAAACTGAAAGTTCTTGTGTTTTAAAGGCATGATGTACTAAGCCAACATTTTAATGATTAAAAGCTTATTTCGCCTTTTTCCTGTTGCCAAATAAATACTCAAGAGCTTTCTAGAATCAAAACCAGGACCAAACTTTTACACTTATACATTAGAAGAGGAACTGAGGATCTCATTTCAGCCAAAAAGGGACTAAATTAACCACTTGGAATCCCCAAATAAGAAGGAACAATGGCAACTGAAGGCCTCAGGGCATAGGGTCAATAAAGAAAATGCTACAAATCAAACAGCTAAAGTTACCCTTTGAACTGAGATAGAGACATAGATATACCTTCCCTGCCAGTGTGAGATTTTTCTACTTTCTTGACCTGGCCTACTTAAAAGGGCTAACATCAATCTTGAAAGTCTCTCAAACACTAAAGGACCAATTCCATATGAAATGGGGGTGCTAAGAAGCAAAAGGCAGCAGAACTCAATGTTGTACAAAATATCTGCTGAGAATTGAAGGGAAAATTTAATATAAAGAAGAAACAATGGCATCTGAAGGAAAGGAGACAACCAGAAGACTGAGAAGAAAAAGGCAAGATGAGGCTGAAAAGCCTAAGAGAAAATGAGCTGAATTTATTACTGCATGAAGTCTTCTCTGGAGCATGCAGAGCTATCCTAGAATACCAATCTGAATTTTCATCCTAACTTATAAGAAAGCAACACATTTCAGACAGACACGAAACTTAGAAAATGTTCTATCCTCAGTCTTACAGCTGCCAACTGTACTGCTGTGAAAAAGTTTACTTATTCATTGCTCTACCCCAGTGTTTCTCAACCTTGGCAACTTTAAGATGTGTGGACTTCAACTCCCAGAATTCCCCAGCCAGCAAGAGGAGTTATTTTCCCATCCTTCCTGTGCTGGATTAATGCAGTCAGAAAACAATATAGAAAAGCGTATCAAGAAAAATAGAGCTATTCCTATCAAATTGTTGGTCTGGCCAAGTATTCAGGAGTCAGGGAATTCATCAAATCTCTATCTTTAAGTTGCTTTATAAGAGTTTATTACTTTCAATTACACTGCTTAAGTTTTGTGCTGTTTGTAATGTTTCATTTTTCTGTGTATTCCCCTAAAGTTCTCTTCAGTCACAGAAGGTAGGACCTACAATTTTTTTAAAAATAAGTATTTTCAGTCAAGGCAACAGAATCAATTTGGAATGAGCCTCGCTTCTTCTTAATGAAGTGTATGAGCTTAACCTCTTCCTGTTTGCTTTTATTCCTGGTGAACAAGTACAAAGCATTCATTTCCGTTGGGCCTGAAAATAAAAAGCAAACTGAAGTAATAAAAGCAATAGATTGCCACCCATAGCAGCTTATATACATGTCTAGTCTTGATGGAGAGAATCCACGTGGTGAAACGTTTCACACAGCTCCCACCTGTATTCTGTTTCTGGACATCATAATACACCTGCTGCTTCAGTTCATCCCTGATGCTGTAGCTTCTCTCCTGTGCTCAGGTAACACCCATAAGGAAACAACAGTCTTTCCCTGAACAATTCCCCTGCTGCTTATTCATTGTGCCTTCATAACACACAACAGTATACTGAAGGAAATTCTCATTTCAGGCTTCTAGTTATGCTACATATTCCCTCTGATTCTCTGCTTAAGGACCAGAGTCTGCTATCTGATAAACAGTATTTTTTAAAATGATAATTTTGTAGATACTTGAAGATCTTGCCTACTACCTGAATTCCATGTTAAAAAGGAGATCAAAAGACAACTGAGAAGCCAAAAGAGTTTGGCAGGAGTGTCCTTGGTCAGGTTTAGTATCAAAACTGTTTCTATCACCATTCACACTCTGTCTGGCTACACACCTAACCTATTAAGTAAACCATGTCTTAGTGCAAAATCAAAATGGAACAAACCTGGCTTACCTTGATGCATATTGTGATATATCCCAAGTCTGATCTCTTACTTGGTATTAACAGCTTTTTCTACATACAGGTAGTCCTCAGTTAGCAATGAAAATTGGGACCAGGAACTCCATCACTAAGCAACATGGTTGTAAAGTGCAACGTCACACGATCATCATTTGTGACCTCCTGCTGGCTTCCCCATTGACTTTGTTGGAAGCCAGCAATGAAGGTGGCAAATGGTGATCACATGCCCATGGGAAGCTGCAGATGTCGTAATTGTGAGCCAGTTGCCAAGCAGCCAAATTGTGGTCATGTGACTGCAGGGACACTGCAACAGCCGCAACTTTGAGGACTGGCCATAAGTCTCCTCCTTCATTGCCACTGTAACTTCCAACAGTTGCTGAACGATTGGTCATTAACCAAAGACTACCTGTATGCTACTTAGATATCATCTAAGTAAAGCACATTCATTTATTTATTAAATTTGTATTCTGCCACAATCACAAAACTCTCAGCAGCTAACAAGTACACGATTGGCATAAATAAATAAATGCTCATAAATTTCACTGAGCAAGAGCAGAATTCATAACTCTGCTTGTACAGACAGAGGCATCCCTCAGGGAGGGTAGAGTGAGGAAACTACTTATGTACTTGTGTCAGAAGTTAGGACACTAGTACATACAGGTGGCCTGCATGCCATCATTTTTTACACCATGGTGGCTTACTGCAGATGCCCAAACAAAGAGACAGAATTGCCGGCTGAGTTGTACTGTTGAGAATCAGTCAATTCAAAAGGCCCAACCTCTGCAATACACAATATTGTAGATGAAGTATCAAGCAAAGTTCTCTTACCAGCTGTTTTACCTTTACAGCTTGAGAAGTCCGAATTGGCTGGGGAAGGACAGAATTGGGATGGGCAACCCTGATAGCTATTGGTGCCCCAGCAATGGGCACGACAGATTGGAGAGTTGTGGTTACTGATGTAGCTGAGGTTGCTGTAGTAGTCAAGACCAGCTTTGCAGCTTCAAGAGATGTCATCACAGTTGATGTGGCTGATTTCATAGAACTAGGAGTAGTAAGAATAGCTGATGATACTGTTGGGCTACAGTCTGGCTTTACTACCTGAAGAGTAGCTGTCTCCGTTTTAGTGGAGGCTAGCTGCATGGTCTTTGTGGTATTGATCCTTCCAACCAGTTGAGTGGAGAGCATGGAGTTGTCATCTTGATAAGAGAATGCCCCTGCAGCCAAGGCACAAGCTGGCTCAACAAGTGGAAGAGACTCAGAACCACTTGTCATAGCCATGCAGGGTACTGAAACTGAAGCCTGTGGAGAGGACATTTGAAGTGGAGAACTAGGGACTGGTGTTGCAGATTGAAAGGAGACTGTAGTCACAGGAGTGCTGTCAGCAACTGTGGAAGAAGTTGAGGATGCAGTGGGATAAGTAGAAGAAGCTGTCTGAGGCAGAGATTGCTGAAGACATTGCTGTATAAAGGTCTCTGTGTTAGGCATTAATTGCCGTAAGGCAAGTAAACTTTTCTAGGCAAGAAAGATGACAGAAAATCAGATTACAGTAAGTTAACATATCTTTCAGGAGCAAATATTATCCAAAGTCATCAATAAGATAGCTAAATTGAAAAGGGTTATAGAAGGCCTGCTTAATCTATGAAGCTTATGTTGTGTGATCTTCAAAAAAGCTTGCCAAGAATCAAACCATTTGCCTTTGCATCTCTGCAGTCATCCATACATTGTGGCAGAAGTCTTAGGTACACCGGTTAATACTAACTTGTATCAAGAAAATGTCCTGTAAGTCTGAACATTCACATGTAAACAGCATGAGTGCTGCTAGTGATTTGATGGAATTGTTTACTTGTATCCAACATGGGCCAGCTCACCCTTGCTAGAAATGGAAGGCACCTATAATTTCTATCAGCAAACTGGAACTTGTGAAATGCACAGCAGGAGTGCATCTTCCTTTCTGTGGAGCCAAATCTCAATCAATCAATCAATCTCTCTCTCTCATAGGTAGATATTGTAGGTTTAGCAAAAAGAACTATTTTTATGATAATAATTGTGTTCATAAAAGTAGCATTATTCTCACATACACTGAACTTAGGTGGCCTGGAACTGTGTACTCAGCAGGGGCATCAATGTAATTGCATCCATTTCTCTTCTATGAAGGTAGAATTCCCAGCTGAACTTACTTCTAAGCATGTTCAATCACACGAGTTTGGAAACACTTTGAGACTATCACAATGAATGCACAATGGTCTTAAGTGGGCCTCCCAGCTAGGTATTTTCAAGCAAATATGAATCCAATGCAATATTCCTAGAGAACAAAGATGGACAATCTTTTCTTGGACAGAGATAGTTCTTGGTGTAGATCAGTGTTTCTCACCCTAGGCAGTTTTAGGATCGGTGGACTCCAGCTCCCAGGATTCCCCAGCCAGCAAGGCTGGCTAGGGAATTCTGGGACTTGAAGTCCACACATCTTAAAGTTGCCAAGGTTGAGAAACACTGGTGTAGATGATGATAACAACAACAACAACAGCATAGCAGAGTTGCACCCCAAAATGTAGTGGGCAAAGCAGCTTGGACAAAGCTACATTTATTTCATTCCAAGCAAGTTTTGGAGATATCTGACTTTTGATAACTACACGAAGTCTTGGAGCTTCAGGCTGTATTCCTTTGCTGTAGAACTGTAGTTGCATATATCAACAGTACCTAATGAGTTGTAACCACCTTATCACTATAGAATATATTACTACTGTGAAGTAATTTAAAGTACATATAAATTGTCAGAATTTTTGAAAAATGTTTTACAAACCTCAAGTAACAAGTCCATATTACAAATTAAAAGTAGTACTTGGCTGTTGTTTTCTCAAGCTAAATATTCTTCACATCTCACACACACAAGTCAGAGCAACTGGAGGGTAATTGTTTTAGGTAAATAGGAGATTGGGAAAATCACTGATAACTAGAGTTGAAGTCAATTACATATGCTTAAGCCAAGAGTAAGGATTGTTATCACTTGTGCATAAATGGAAATGAGATCTTTTTCTTATAGCTTATATTTAATCAAAAGAGATGAGTATCAGTTCTAGAACATATATTTGACAGGAAAAACTGTATGGTGTCAAAAGTGTGCTAAATTTTAAGCAGCCCTAAATTTAATAACTATGCACGAAGTTTTGGCCAAGGATTGCATCTTATCTCCAGGTTCATGAACAGAACAATTCAAGCTGAAATGTACTCCTCTGAAAGGAATGCAATCAAAAGGAATTTATTTATAAAGTGGGCTATTTTTACCTGGCTTCCTTGCAACACCTAAGTGAACAGTGTGCTCTCCTCAAGTCATTCAGTGATAATTTGGCTTTGTTTAGCCCAGTGTTTTTCAATGTTGGCAGGCTGGGGAATTCTGGGAGTTGAAGTCCACACATCTTAGAGTCGCCAAGGTTGAGAAACACTGGTTTAGCCTGTTCTCCTAACCCAGCCATGGTGTGATGCAGCTGTTATCAAAACACCAAGGGGGGAAGGGAAGAACTTCATCAGCAAGTGCTTTCAACGTTTCCTGTGGCCAAAAGTGCTCTTAGTTGTCCCAACTCCAGACAACATTTTCACCCTACTATCATCACAGTACCTGATACCTGAAATGAAAAGAATATTAATTAAGACATACCTTGAGAAAGGGAACAAGATATGGCTGAGGAGAAGACTTTAGTTCCACATACAGTTCTTTGGTAAATTCTTCTGGTTCAATTTTAGCTTCCTAGATAAAAAAAGAAATTGTAGCACAAATGCAAACTGTAGCTCTGTTAGATGTGCCTATAAGTAGAAACATCCATTCACTTGCATTCTAGTACTAATTAATTCCATAAACTGCAACTTTTCACCATACTTTTTCAATATAAAAAAGATATCAGCTTGCTGTTAATAATATTCTCTTTCAAACCAATTTTCAACAACAGTTGCAGATAAGAAAGGCAGATTTCTGAATAGCTGCAAGAAATTAGAAAATTTAAATAAGTTGTAAAACATTTTTGTAAGAAATGCATCTTGAGGGAGAAATTTATTCTATGAAATATGCACTGTCACCTGGCTAAAAAAAGATATCCCTGTATGGGCAAACTTGGTGCTCTCCAGAGATTTGGGCCATTAGGCCCAGTGTGTCTAATGGGTACAGAGGAATGGGTGCAGTAGTGCCAATCGTAGGAAAACCAACTGGTTGCCCACCCCTGCACCGCAGTCATGCAGTGCACTTACTACTAGTTTAAAATATAAGAATTATAGCTTTGCATCTTTAAATAAGATGCCAAGAAAAGCAAATTCATTTGCATGATATTGGTTCCTTTTTTTCTCCCTCCCATACCTAAAATTATAGCAATTTATAAAAGAGATTGCTAGAACTAAAAGGCACTATTTAATCTGGCTCACTACAATGGAACAGAAATGTGAACAGGAGTGTTGTTTCACACAGTCTCTCCATTCTGGAATGGCACAAAATTATAGCAGAGCCAGGCTTTAAGTTATTAGATACTCAAGACTTAACAAATATTTTGAACATAAGAATGAGTTTCCATATACAAGGTAAGTCCTTCTCTTTTTATTATGAAGCAAATGTATTTTTGGACATAATAAAAACATTAATTCCCTTTCTTCACAAGGCAATACTGAGAAGTTTTAATGTGATTTGACTTCTGCAAGCAGAACTAAAAGTCAATCATAGAAATGGTACCCAAAGGCAATTAGTGTATAGATGCAAAAACATCTCTCTAATAATCTGAGTGTTGTTAGCTGCCCAGAGTTTATATATAAAATGGGCTCCCTTATAAATGTTCACAAAGATACATATATACATGCATACATACATACATAAAAGTGTAGGCTTTCACAGCTGGTATATGTTGAGCTTCAGCGTTTAGTGACCATGTTCTAAACCCTGAAGCCCAACACTGCCCAAATAATAAACTGGGATTTTCCATGATAAAATGACATCATATGCATCATGGGACCATCATATGAGTGGCACAAATGACGCAAATATGAAATTCATGTCACTTCTGCGATGACATGATGTACACATTATTTTAATGTCATTGGGGATTCTCCTGGAGACCATGGACATGCCAACAATGCTATATTAGTTAGTTTTGTTTGATATCACACATGTAAGGATTGGGAGACAGATATGTAAAGATGGGCAGGAAGTTCTGGAAACTCCAACCAAGCTGCTTCAAACTGCAACCTTCTGCACAGATGAAGTCCCTCTGGAAACATTCCTGAGTAAAGACATTCAGAATCAGGACAAGGGTACTTGCAGATGAACTTTTACCAACAGACTTTGAACCAGCTTCTTCACATTCTGCCCCATCTGATGTGCTTGGGGCCCACTGGATGCCAGTTTTATTAGTGTTGCAAGAAAGTTTTTGCACTTTTTCACATTTTCCAGCATTTCCTGACAAGAAAACAAAAGATTGTGAATTAGAACCTATCAAACTTTTATGAAATTGATATCTCTGCAGTCTTAGCCTATTTTGTACTTACTGTACAACTGACAGCTTGGGTGACTGTTGGGCCAGCTGTTTCAGGAACTGGTTTTGAAGTGAAAGTCAACATGGGAGAATCAGAAATAGGAGGCTTTGCTGATGATCCAGCAATCAATGATTTTGTTGTTGAGGCTATATTTGTTGATGCTACTGACTGAAAGACATGCAACATAAAAGTTACTTGTAACATTTCTGGCAGGACCAACACAGACATTGCTGCATAACAAAACCTATTTCCAAGAAAGCAGATTTTCCTTTGACTGATGTCTCACCTCTTAATGATATACCAAGAAGAACCGCATATGAAATCAGGTACCCAAGAGAGGGTTTACTCTGCAATAATACCCAAGCTTTGGTTGCTGCCCTGGGAAAGTCTCAGAAGACTCCTTCTCTCTGCATCTAGCAATACTCACAACCACACTAATGCTGGCATGTGATGATTAAAACTAAACTGAGTGCGCTAGATTGATTTTTAAGACAGTCTTTTTACAGTGCTAGTTTATGTTATTTGGTCTGTAATATTGCTTTTTATTGATTGGGTGATTTATTGTTTTCAAGTTTTGAAAATTACTGGATGAGATGGTGTTCTAAAAGAAAAGGAAGAGAACTAGCATCAGCTTTTCTTTTCTAGATCCAGACTTCTTTGCCCTAACATCTTTCCTTTGGGCATCTGCTTTTTCCATTCTCATATGGAGACCTCATTTGCATGTCATGCAAAGATAAGATCTGGTTAGGGGAAGTATATTACCTAAACCTAGCCCCTGGGTTAAATTGAAATTAACTAGAGCATTTTTACTACAATCTGTACACATGGTTTATCATATCTTTATTCATCTAAACCAGGACAGTGTGCATTATTCAGATCCAAATAAGGGAAATAATTGATGATTAATGTCTCATGTCTTGGCCTCTGGGCATTAGAGACAGAAGGCAGAATTGGCTGCCAAATGATTCCATATAGCATCTTGGTCTTTTCTCATCTTTTACACCTCATGGGCACAATCATATCACCACAGGGTAACTGAGCTAACACAAGTTTTGCTTTTCTTTTCCAATTCACAAAAGCATTAAGAGTCAGCAGGGCAGTCACTGCAAAGGCATCTGGGATACTGGTTCCCACTGAAGGCCAGCTAGAAACCATGGCTAGAGATGATTTAGTAACTGATTGTGTTACTGATTTGCTCCCTCCCTACCCAAATTGTATCCCATTATTGGATTCAATGCTTGCATAGCCCCCACATCCTGCTAAGGGCCCTCCTGGCCACTGCTTACTCTAGCAGTGAAGCTGGTAGCTCTTTGTTCTAGAAGGAGATTGGCTGGCTGGCAGTCTGGTGGCTTGTAAAAGGACTCAAGACTGACTCCAGACTGAGAGAAAGCAAGGCACCTGCCAATCTTACTTATGCTTAGCCAGTTTTGGTAACAAAAAGGGGCCAGTTGCATCTAGATCTTGCTTTCTTCAAGCACACAAAGCTGCAGCCAAGGGTTGGCAGTTGCTCAAGCATTTCAATCAAACATCTGTATCAGCACCTGCTACCAGGGACACTGTCTTACATTCTCCAACCCAACAATGCTGGTTCTCATGGAAGGCCTTTTCTACTCCCACACACCATCTTCTCTGAGCTAAGTACCAGCTGCTGCTGCTGCTTTTTATTATGGTTGGTTGCACAGTCAGCCAGATGTTTTGACTGGATTTGTCATTTTTGTTCACCTATTGAGTCCTTCCCAAGTACTTGGGATAGGCAGATGTTATTTAATAATACTAAAGGTATTGTTGCAGGATGTAAGCTATTCCAAGCAAACCTGCCTTTTGCAACTGACTAATGGTGATGCCAATGGTGTTCAAGAGTTGCTCCAGATGTTTTGGAATTGCATGCAAGGCACCTGTTACTATCGGTACTATCTTTGCTTTCTTTTGACACAGTCCTTGCTTTCTTTTGACACAGTCAGATATTCTTCCAATGCCCTTTTTTTCTTCTTCAATTGTCTGGTGTACTTGCAACATTCCATGCCCACCTATATTCCTTGGTAAATAGAGTCTGTCAGTGTTGCTGTGTGGATGAAGGGCATGATTCTTTGCCACTATTTTTCTGGTCTTCCTATCCAGGCCCTCTAGCTCAGCTTGAGTCCAGTCCACTATTCCAGTTGTATATGTAATTTCCCAGGTGATAATTGCTTTGATGGTACTTCTACCACTGAGTTTGGACTTTAAGATCTTCTTCACTCTTCTGATGTATTCACTACTAACCTTCTTCTCCACTTCAGTGTGCGTGTTGTTGTAAGCCTGAAAGATGCCCAAGTATTTGTAGCAAACTTCTTCATCCAGGCTCTTGATGTTATTTCTACTGGGCATCTTGATTCCTTCAGTTTTCACTATTTTTCCCTTGCTGATGGTAAAGGTAGCACATTTGTCCAGTCCAAATTCCATTGCAATATCTTGGCTGTATATTCGGACAGTGTTGAGCAGCAATTCCATTTCAGATGGGGTTTTTCTATACAGCTTCAGATCCTTCATGTAAAGGAGGTGGGATAGCCTAACAGATATTTTTGATATATGATAGCCACAGCCTGGCTTGTTCAGTATTGCTGACAGAGGAATCAATGCAATGACAAACAGTAGTGGTGACAGTGAGTCTCCTTGAAAGATTCCTCTCTTGACGTTAACCTCTCCCAGTCTATCACCATTGACCAGCAACTGTCTTCCATTGTCCCACTGATCTTTGCACAAAGCTTCTGATATTTCTCCTGACTCCTGTTATTTCTAGGACTTGATTATCCAGTCATGTGGCAGGGAGTCGAATGCCTTCTTGTAATCAATCCAAGCTACATCCAGTTGGTCTTGCTTTTCTTATAGTTTTCCAAAATCATCTTATCAGTTAGAAGCTGTTCTTTTGTCCCTCTTCTGTTTGGGCAGTTTCCTTTCTGCTCAGATGGAAAGAGCTTG